CTGTTCTAGTTATTAAGGCCTCTACATTACCCTTGGGAAGCTCGGGTCTGCGCTCGCATCGATTTCCGGGGGGCTGCGAAGTTCAGGAGCCAAAGGCTGCATGCAGAACACAGTTTTTGGAGGGTATCACGGACAGGCGAGGGTTTCCAGGTTTTGGTTTGGGGTTTAGGGTTTGTGATTTATTGCGGCTTGTGGTTTGGGGTTAAAGGTGTGCGATGTAGCGCTTCGGGTACTGGGGTCTCGGTTTCTTTGCGCGTTGCAGCGGCCTCTTCTTCATCATCATCATCATCATCCACGTCACTGCCATCATCACCAGGCCTGGACTCTTGCCCCGGAAATTGGGGTCGTACTGCCAGGGCCAACTGCTCGCTTGCTGCATTGACCATCGCGGAGAAGTGCACTGGATCGTTGCTGAGAGCAAACCATGGCATGATTCGCAAAGTGCGAAATAGCGAACGCCGTCGGAAAAAAATGTTCCACCTCGATCGGGCGAACAAGGGTGGCCTGAGCTTGCTCCAACCCCGTGTAAAAACTTCTTGGTCAATGTGTTCACATCGTCGCCGTCATCAGTCATCCTTGCTTCTGCCCATTGGAAGGAAAGCATCTAGCACGGCGCATCTGTACGAGGCAGCTGTGGGTTGTCCGGCGGAGGTCCGAAAAGCACACGGACCTGGTCCTTAGGCATTTTTGACCATGACCGTGTGATTCCAGCTTCAGAGCAGCAAATCATGGATATCTCTCAGTCTTGACGTTCGCTGTGAATCTGTCCGTGCAGGTTGAGTCAATACAGAACGCTCTGCGAGGTCTTCCTAAAGGAATCATTCGCAAAAGTTGTCAACTGCATGGAATGTTCACGAAGACCGATCAGAAAACACGTGCTGCAGCATCCATTTGGTCTGCATTTTTCGCCGCCTCCGGATCTTGAGCTCTTGCTCGGCCTGTCTTAAATCTGGAACATCCAGCGTCTCAGCAGCGACCACAGCATAACGCGTCGGGGCCCAGGGCCACATGATGACCCTCTTCATCGATCTTCAGGGCTTTTACGACGGCATACGCTGGCAGCGCGTGCTAGGGCAGGGCTTAGACCAGGGCTTCCCAGCCCCAGCTCCAAAAAGACGCACTTTGTGGGCACGTCGTCAAAAGTAGTAGCGGCGCTGAAGAAAGCAAGGCACCCCACTGACCCGGATATCAAGCCCCTGGCCAAGGATTTGGGGATAGATTCTGCTGGTGCCCGAAGAAGGCGACTCTTCACTGCAAAGAAGAGATTTCAGAGCGGGGTGAATAGAGTCAAAAAGCTTCAGACCCTCAGAGTCCCCTGCCGCGCAAGGCCAGGGTGCGTGTCCTGCGTACCAGCCCTTTTGCGGCAGCCATGTATGGGCATGAGGCACAGGGCATAGCACCAAAGCGCCTCAAGGTCTTTAGGGCTAGCCTTTCAAGCAACTGGGCCGTGCTGCCGTTGGCTCGGTAGATGTCATCTTGGACCTCTTCAGTAACGAAGCGCCGGACCCGCAGTTCACAGTGGTGGCGCAACAGGCCGAAGCAATCATCAGGTGTGCGCTGGCACATGGGCCAGAAGGTCGCACTTTGATGCTACAGGCATGGCGGCCGTTGTGGCAACGCCAGTCTCAAACGCGTTATGGCTGGCAGAAGGTGTCCGGACCTCTTCAGTACTTGCAAGACCTGGATGTGGATGCCCAGGATCCTTTGTGCTGGAAGTGGGAAGATCAGACGCTAGAGCTGTCCACGGACGACCCCTGCCTACAGGGCAAGGTCCGCGCCTTTATGGCGCAGGTGGTAGCAGCCTGGAGAACACGACGCTTCAGCAAAGCACAGTCGGCAGCAGGGGCCGAAGGCGGCGTGGATTGGGCAGTTGCGCGCCGGCTACTACGCGCACGCCAACTCCCAAAGCGGAGATCTTCGTATAGGATGGTGTTCCAAGGCCTCCATCTTCACGAAGGAAACTTGGGGCTCACATTTTGCCAGTGGTGTGGGCGGGCAACGTAATACTCCGCAACATCTGTTGTACCTAAATGGCTGCTGGACTACCAATCTAAGGTCCCGGATCAATGCTTATGGCAACGAGGGATGCTCCCCAAGCGCTATGTCCAGGCGACTGCAACGCATCACATCCATCGGGACGGCATCTTTGCAGAAGAGAGCCCGATTTGGGGTCAGTTTGTGTACGCGACAAACGCTTCAGGAGGGCGCTACACCCGGGACCATAGATTGAGGAACGTAGGCTGGGCCGTCATTGCGGCCACCTGGGGACCGCAGGGCCTACAAAAAGTGGGCACCCTCTCTGGAGTGCTTATGCCCTCCGCGGTGTCAGCAGGGGAGTCCGAAGCAATCATTGCTCTCCTGAAGTTGGTTAATGAGGAGGTGGATATAACGACTGACAGTCGTGTTGCGGTGAGACACCTGAAGAGCGAAAATTTCACCAAAAGCATGTACTTGTCTTGGGGCCAGGTTTGGGACTCCCGGCACCTAGGTCGCACCACATGGATACGATCGCATACGACACATGATGGGTTTGTGCAGGAGTTTGGCGAGCAGAGCATTTGGAGAAGGACTCTGAATGCCTGGGCGGACCAAGAAGCAGACCGGCGCGCCAATGAGGCACAACCACTCAGTAGAGCGGTCAAGATCCAGTACCTCGATAGGGCGGTGGCACATGTGATTCATCACCTGGCCCAGAGGGTAGAGGCAGCCATGGACCACACGGACAAGGCCTTGGTGAAGAAAACCATAGCCAAGAGACGCCAGCAAGCACAGGCTCAGGCCTCGAGCCCTGCTGCGGGTCCAAATAAAAAGCAACGGATGCAGGCTAAGGCAGATTCACCTCCAGAAGTAGAGGGGCATCAGTGGGAGGTCAAAGCTTTCAACACAAACTTCACCATGAAGTGCAAGGTCTGCCAGTTGTGCATTGAGTCCTGCAAAACTTGTGAGTCATTTGAACGTCTCCTCAGACAACCCTCTATTGGATTTGAAGCTGAAGCGCCCACTTGGCCGGATCTGCATCCATCCCATGAGTTGATCAATCAAGGCTGTGTGTGGCAATGTCGCGGCTGTGGTCGCCAGGCCCAGGCCGGCCTCCCTGACCTTGGGGTCTGCGCCAAACAGCAGGAAGCTGACTGCTCCCTGTCCAGGGCACACCAAGCACTGCCCGAAAGCCAAGCAGGGTCAGTTGATCAGACCGAAACAAGCTCCCAGGTCTCAGGATCAGGGTGTACCCCTAGTCCCCCCTAGTGGGAGCTCCGAAAAGGCCCCAGCCACGGAAGGGTTTAGGCCCCTCATTTGGTGAAGGCAACACCGCTAGACCACTTCTTCGCCAAATCCCGGTCTGAGGACCCGGGTGCTCTGAACCCTTCCGCAGTGCACCGAGCTCAGTCGAGGGAGCCCTGTCCAGTTGCAGCCCCAGGGTCTCCCCGGCCACAGGGCCAGGGTGCAGTGCAGCAAACTCTGAAAGGAGTGCCACCGGTGCCGAACTCCTGGAAAAGCCCACCTGGAGCAAAAGCTGCTCAAAGGCTTAGTAAGCAAGCTCCAGTGGAGGCAAAAAGTGCCTCCAAGGCTGGACCCACGGGGTCCATCAGGTCCTTCTTTCAACCAAAGGCAGGCTCAGGTGCAGGCAGTGCCTAGGTCTGTGCTCGCCTGCAGGGTACGAGAACCATCTCTGGTCTTGAGGTGGATTTCGTGAAGATAGCCTGGCCAAACAAGGAGAGAGGCAGCTCTGGTGCTGCACTTAGCTGGTCCTCAGGCCAAAATTTGGCACTCTCCCCGCCTTCGGGCCAAGGCCCCAGGCCTCAGGGTCCTGAGAGCCAAAGTGTTCCCTGTCGCTTTATTTAGGCGTTGTAGGTTCAGCGGCTAACGGTAGGCAGTTAGGGTAGTCCGCTCCTGAGGGAGCAGGAGGCTAGCCAAAGACGCTGCCCACCTGCGGCTTGCATGCAATTAATTACCGGATCGGGCTTTGCCCAGGCGACCGCTCGCCTTGGAGAGAAAAATCCTAACTGGCTCAAGATATACCCTGGCTCAAGCTCCTCTGTGGGGCGCGTGTAGGAAGTGCTTGTGTAGAACGGGCTCGGGGACCTAACTTGTTTCAACAAGGTTTGAACAGGGGAATCCGAGCTTTAGTAACTCACTGCCGCCACGGAGTGAGCCTTCCTTGCCTTCTGGCAGAGGTGTGTGCTTCCTGGCCTTCTGGCAGAGGTTGCGTGCCCCCTTGCCTTTTGGCAACGGTCTGGGCGTCCTTGCCTCAGGGCAGAGGTGCTTTCTGCGAAGCAGCAGGGCACAAGTCCAACGGAGCGCTCCAAGCAGTGGTGTGCGTGTGCTTGCGGCTATGGCTGGGCGTGGCACCAGCAGGTAGCCAGCGGAGAAGACACGCACTGTGCCATCTGTGGCAGGAGTTGGGCGAAGCAGATCGCCAAGAAGAAGAAGGAAAAGGAAGCCAGAGCCGAGCAAAGATCCTGGGTGGTGCCAGGATGGCCCACTTGGGCAGGCCCCAAGGGTAGAGGCAACAAAGGCCAGAAGGCGGAACTAGGGAAGGTCAGTTCGGCCTTGGCAGACGTCTGGCAGGATCTGTCAGATGTCACTCAGAAGGCCTTGGCGCGAGCAGGGTGCAAGCCGCCAAGGACGCCTTCCCCGCCACCTGGGCTGAGGGTCCCCGCCTCCCTGAAAGGTTCCATGACACAGCAGTACCAGGCTGCTCGCATGGTGTATATGATAGTGGAGCTGGCGACCATGTGCAAAAACTTCTTGCAGCAGCACGCATTCCGCCGCCTGGTGATGAGAACTTGGAGCCAATAGAGGTGACACTAGGGCAACGCCTGACTTGGGTGGTGACCGAGTTTCGTAAGTCTACGAACCAGATGCAAAAGCTGGTAAAGAAGCGAGCACTGTTGCAGGCCAGAGCACACAGCCTCCAGGAAGAACTGGAAGCCCTGATGATGGATGTCGCGCAGGTTGGACGCGAAATCGAGACTAAGGACGCGGAAATGCAAGACACGGCGCGCGAGTTCAAAGAACTGACAGAGGGCAAGGCCACAACTGCATATGGGCAGTTAGAGCAGGTTTTGAAGGATGCTGGTCACGACTTGGCAGAAGGGACAAAGGCGAAGCTGAAAGCGGCTCTTTTGACGAAGGCGGCTGAAGACGAGATTTGCCCAGATCCTTTTTGAGCAGGTTCGACAGCAGGGAACAATGGGCTGCTCTTTTTTTCGACCCCGAAATGTCTTTTTCCAGACCGCGCAGTTGGTCCATCTTGTTTTCGACCGCGGTATGTCTTTTTTTCGACCTCTATCTTTTTTCGGCCCCGCGATGAGGCCTA